AAAAAAAAAGTTATTCTCCTGAATATATAGAACAAAATACAGAAGAGGTTTGTAGTTTCAACGTTTTAGTCTGGAATCCACCATGTAATCGTATCTATAGCGAAAAATTTGAAGTCGAAATAAAATGCTTTGATTTTGAAAATGTTTTATATATAATACTTTACCATGTCCTTACCAAATGGAATCTGATTGTATCACAGAAAGACCATAAGACTTTGGTTTGACAAGCAGGCAAACATTTACAGTACGGTCTCCGGAGAGACTGCTTTAATAGATATTTTTAACCTGCCATTTATCTAATGTTCCATAAGGGGGCGCTAATGGTTTAGCTTCGCCCACTATCATTCAAATTGCCTTTCCTACTCGAAGTACGATTCCAAAACGAAACGGTATCAATAATTCATTTTGTTTTCTGCTACTTTATTTCATACGTCTTACCCACTCGTTCTTACTCTTTCACAGTTGTTTGAAAATAAAAGATCATGGTTTCTAAATCTTTCTGCGGTAATGCTCAGTTTTCATAACTCCTATTTAAGACACCTCCAGAATTCCAGCAGAATTTAATTTCTGGTACTTTTTCAATTCATTAGATACTGTGATAATGAGGTGTGTGTGTACTATACATAAAACTAATGCAAAACACGTTTCTCAATGAGATTAAAGAACATTTAACTTTTGAAATAAGAAGCTCATTAATATCAGGGATTCTTGGCTTTTCCTGGATTGGGAGTCCCTTCAAGACATTTTGCAAACGAGCACGATTAGACCGTGTCGCTAGTTTGGTCACTAGCTGGTGAGCAATTCAACGACCAAACTCATTCTACTAATTCCTGAAGGAAGTTAGGGTGTCACTGTTTGTGGGGAAATTGTACCACACTCCCACAACCTTAAGTGTAAAGTCAGTGTCTCCTGTTCTTGATCTCAAATGCACTTCCCCTTAGTTTCCAGTTGTGCTCTCTAGTTTGTCTCCCTGTTGGTCCTGAAGAATGTGGTTTTTGGGGTTGAGGGTGTAGTATAGGCTAATTAAAGGAAGTCCCCCCTCATAGGCTCCTTTTTTCAAGATGCTGCTTATTTTAACTGGTTTGCGTGTAACATTCCTTACATTCCGGGAACTAAATCTCTTTGGTTTTGGGGGGAAAAGAAATGTCCCTAATAAGATCTTCCTCCAATCTAAACATACAAAGATATTGAAATATAGAATTATCTAAACCAATGTAGACTGAGCAGATCCACTATTTAAGAGTGCCGTCGCAACAGCCTGTGACCCCAGAAGCCTAGATTACAGTGATCTTTTTGGTTTTGTAATCAAACTAGTATATTCATGACAGTCAGTACTGCCCAAGGAGCTGTTCAGAGCTGGCATGCTGTTCAGTTCCTTAATGCTCGCTGCATATTAGTGAAATGATTATTAGTTCTAATAATAGGATGATTCAATATGTCTGTGCCCATTTTTGTTCTCTACATGTCTAGTTTCGTTTTTAGATTGTTTCCACTTTTTGCCTTTTTAACCTTTGCCATTCTTCCTCAGTGCCTTTGCTCTGGCTGCTGTTTCATCCTTACATTCATTTTCGGTAACCTCTTTATCTCAGAGAGTCGTGGTGAGCCGAGGCCTAACCTGGCAGTAATGGGGTACAACAAGACAGGATGCACCTTAACGCCAGTCCATCACAGGGCATGCACGCACACACACATGCACGCACATGTGCAACATATGAATTCTTGCTCATGTGTTGTGTTGCAATTTATTTTACACAGAAGTGTTTAAAATAAATCTGAGCACATTGTGCTGTAGAAATAACTTTCTATTCTGTGAGAGTTTGTTCCACCAATTTTCTTTATTCCCATAGTGATGTTAGAGGAATCAGGCAGACCCATGAAGAAATAACATCACGCCGCTTTATAACCACAGATTAAAGAAATGTAAGTGCTTTTGTTTCTATAAAAAAACAAGTAGATGTGGTGGCAGTTATTATGGCATGTTAGTGCTTTATAGGTTTCTCAGTTTCTCAGCAACAAAAAGATATAATACAACATAAGCA